CTTGCCCAAATCCAAAATAGAAGACGCTGATTTCTTAAAGTATGTTGAACTCGCTAAAGATGCTTTTGCCGCAACTGGATACTCGACCGTTCGAGTTGATTATATTGGCAATCTTAAAGAGGATAATTTTCCAACTAAGGAAATTAATAGGTTAAGAGGAATGGTCGAGTCCATTCAAAAAAGAGTAAAAGAAATGATACGCACAATGATCGATAACAACGAAAAGTTTCAAGTAGCGGTCATACGATATTCTAATAGAACTGAAGAGAATCAAGGGAATCAATGTGATGAAACAGGTAATAGTGACATTGATAAACAGAATTCTGAATTCCTCCCAACTCTGATGAAATCTATGCAAATATATATGGGACAAAAAATTATGTATGATCGAAATTTTTATGCGAAACACACTTCGACCACACTATGTGAGAATATGGACTGTGCTACACTGACAAGCTATCCGAGTTTCAAAAATTAGGTGCAGAGGCTTTGACCATCAGAAAATCTTTGAAATCTGGATTTTTACCGCTTCTGTAAGTCGAAAATGAATTCAAACGAATTTATGCATGGTCGAAAATAAAATATTGCAATTTGATTAATTTTATGATTTAATGAATTACATCGCACACTTAATATACCGCGGGTGTCCCAAAAAACGTACTCTGGTTTGATTCTTAGATAGAGGGAAGGTTATCTTAGATTTTGGTATATCACAATTACATTTTACCCAAAAAATCACAGAGATAATAGCCTATTTAAGATGTCTCTTAATTATTCAAAATCGCGGCATAGCAGCAAAATAATCAGAGAAGTATTGCGCGCATTTAAGAAACACGTTAGAAACACGTTAACAAGACGTTATCCTGACTTATACTTCAATTAATTATCGTCAAAATTTCTAGTGAGATAGCATTGTGCAATAGTTTGTCAAGTTTGTTAAATGTGCGAGCTTCAGTTGAGCCGGGTGAGGGTGCTAATTCCGCCCGGAGATTTTAATTACGCCCGGGAATGCAAATGCAAAATCAAGTTGTCCGCCATTATGTCGTCGCCATAAAAAAACTTTGATTCAAATGGATGGTAAAAAATTTACGATTTTGGAGCAGTTTTGGAGTGCTTTTGAACAGGCAAAGGGGTAGATTTCGTATGTTAAAGCGTGCAAGTATTTTGTAAGTTCAATATGTGGATTTATCAACAAATGTATATGACACCCCTTTGAATTTATTCGTCAATTTTGTTAAAAATATTTTGATTAGGAAAGCATGTATTTTCAAAGGTGAATCTGTTTAAAAAGGAATTGAAATTTCGCTAACAATAGTAGTACAGTATTTAAAACTAAAAACTATTCGTAGCACAATTAATGAATTATATAGTTGAATGTCATAGCTCGAGAGTCGATTTTATAATTGTACTTGATATAGGATTTACTTATACGACTTCGATCATTCAGCAGAAACGAGTATTATAGAATCTCAGTGATGGAAATATATGTTTATTGCTTCAGGCGAGGGGATTTGCATGCATGTATTTCTAGTTAAGCAATATTTTTATAGGGCGTATTTTCCATATTTTAGAGACATCCCGAAATAATGTACCGATTTTAAAAAGTAATATCCCCATGAATTTTTATTAAAAATACAACTATAATATATCAAAATCTAAGTTAGTCCTTTCTCAAAGTTAGTCCTTTCTCAAACGGACGAAAGTTCTCTAAAATTGATTTTAAACTTTGCAAAAAATCATTTTCGCTAAAAAGGTAGGTTTCTATAAGTTCTGGCGCTGCCCAAAGCGTCAATGATTCAATTAAATTTCCTCAAACTTCGATAGTTTGTTTTATCTTCGTTACAGGTGCAATTTTTTGGCTATCTAAATTTAGTATACAACTGACACAATTCTCACAGAATTTATAAACTTACCATGTCCCTTTCGCCTAAATTCCCCCTAGGCTGTTTAGCAATTGGGCAGGAAAGTACATCATTGCCAAATGACAACCTGCCATGTGATGTGAACAAGGAAGGAGTTATTCTCGTAATATTTGTCAACGGAAGAATAAAGCATGAAAAAGAGCCAAGAGATTTGGACATAGAAGCTTTTATTGGCGATTTGCTTGATGAACTGAAAAAAGATCCTGGATTAGATGTTCTCGAGTACACAGTGATTAGAGCTTTCGGTCCTGAGAAACATGACCAAGAAATAACAAACATCGAAAAAGGAAGTCTTTGTTTCATTGCACTGCTTTACAGATGAACGGTTTCTTGAGGTTTTGGATGATTTTGAATCCAAAAGGCTTCAGGAAAGTTTTCTGAGGGAACTTTCGCTGATTGGAATTGAAATGGAGGGAATAGAGTTGAACATAATAAACATGGAGGAGGTAAATAAAAAAAGGTATGTATATGAATGTGCTTTACACCCATATTTCATACTCGCCCAGAGGTTTATTACATCCGGGAAATGTGACAGAACAATACCACTGGTTATGCGCATGCGCAGCAAGTAATAATGGAATCAGCAACGTCCTGTTCGTCAAGACAGAAGTATTGTATTTTAATGAAAAGCAATGTAACTGCCATTTCGCAAAAGTTTTCGTAAAAAAGTTTTAAAAATGCATTATACAAAACAAAACATGGAAATATCCAAGTTTCTTCGTCCAATGAAAAACATGAAAAGCGGGCTTAAGACCGCAACTTTAAGTTTTTATAATCATTCGCACAGTTATGAACATAGTGGACATTACGTAATCACAACCATAGATGACGTTTTAAGGCCGACCCACATTGGACGCGTTCCGCCAACGCAACTTTTAAGAAATTTTAAGAAAGTTTTGAGAAGCTACTAAGTTTTCCAATGCAGTGGTATCCTTGGTAATTATAGAACGATAGTCATTTTGATTTGTCTGGAGCCTGTATCTCTCAAAATGTTCTGAAAATGTTCGCTTCTGAAAAAGAAAATTCGCGTCGCGTTAGCGAATCTCGTCCAGTTTCCAGGGCCTTTAAGGCCCCGTCCACACGATGCCGGAAGAATTTGAAAACGCAAGAATATTCCCACGGTTACGCGTACCGTACACACGTATCCGGCGTTTTCGCCCACTGAAAACGGAAGAATCTGAAACGCACCCCAGCTATTTGAAGTGTTTCTAACCCGTGCGGGACAAAAATGTTAACGAGAATTCGTTATTCATGCATGGACCACTCACAATACTGCCAAGTTTACATTGAATACACAATAGCTATATGGTGTTAAGATATCTTCGCTATTAAACTATTTGTCTACAGTAACATTTTTCTTCCAGGAATGCTGCTAAAACGAAGATCGCAATTAAAGAAGGAAGTCTTGAAGAAGTAAGACGACCTGTTGAATTTGATATTGATATCAGTGTTGCCAAGTCAGTTTTCCTAAAAATCCCAATATAGCTCCCAAAAAATCCCAAGATTCCCTATTTTCCCCACAAAAAATCCCAAGATTTTTTTTCATTAGTTCTCAGGTCCCCTCATCAGGCGAAGTGTTCAGCCATGCGCTGACCGAAGCCTGGCACTACCCTAGAAGTATCATAATTACGATTACCATAACAATCGATCACATTTTAAAACAATCAATACCATGCATGCTTGCTTGCTTCGACATCGCGTTTGAAAACGTTTAGAAAATATTTTTAAAAAAGCAAGAAATCAAAAATGTCAATCAAATCTTACAGATGAGCCCGTAGTGCATGTGTACGAAATACTTGGTCTTGTATAATCGATAGGAAGAAACCTTCTCACTGATCTCAGCGCTTAACTGCTGTATACTCTGTATGGTATATTAAAATATTTAGTGAATATCAGTTATACTGAGCAAGCAGATTAATCAGTATTACAACTATCATTATTATAACATTATCTTGTCTTTATTCTAAAAAATCCCAAGAAAAATCCCAAGGTCTTATTAAAAAAATAAAAATCCCAAGAAAATCCCAACAGCCTCAAAAATCCCAAGATCTTGGGATAAAATCCCAAGGTTGGCAACACTGGTTGCGAGTTGCTATGACTACAGTGTTTCCACGTGCAGAAGAATATTTCTATACTTCTCTCAATTTCTATTTCTCAAATACCCTGTACCCTCCAAAACCCCCAAACCACATAAAATTTCTAACAATCATTAACAAATTTTGTTTAACCTAGGCGAGGGGTTGCTGCATGCATGTATTTCTAGTCTAATTAATAAATTCACTTACACATGCCTGTACGCGAAGTTTGATACCAAACTCTAGGCTGTTGTCGAATGCAGATCAAATTACAGGATTAAACCTTGCATTTGATCTCATCTCTATCTAATTTCATATAGTTTTAATCCCTGGTTAAAAAGTTTTTTTTAATAATTATATATAATTGTTTAAATGCATTTTTAATAATTTTACCGTTGTACTCTTCATTAATATAGACAGAGGAAAGTAAATCAAAAGGTGTGATGGAACCCAAGGAGCTAAATATTGGGAAGTTAGAAGACATCAGAATGACGAATCATCTCGAAATAGCTACATGCACCGCACGTTCAGGAGATAACAACTTGAAATCAGGTAAGTATAAAGAGGCAATTGAGTGTTACGAAACAGCCATTGAAAGTTTAACTAAAATTGAAGATTTAGAACTTGCTATTTTCGAGTCCGCTCTACACACAAGTAAAGGCGAGGCTTATATTGGATTGAAAGAATATCAAAATGCTATTGCCTGCTTCAAAAAGGGTTTTTCACTTAGTGACGATAAGTTTCCAGTAGCAATCAGCAATGAAGGTTTAGGCCGTGTTTATTTTGAATTAGGCCAATATGAAGAGGCCATTAACAGTTATAAAATAGCTCTAGATGCAAGTACTGCCATTGGGGACAAAGCAAGGATTGCAAATATTCGCGCGCTTGTTGACGCTTGTTATGAAGCTTCAGGCGAAGAAAGAAGGGCTATTGAATACTTAAAAAAAGGCTTGGAAGGAGGTACTGCTTCTGATGATCGCAGAAAAATTGCCGTAAGCCACAGAAACTTATGCGACTGCAATTTGAGCTTAGAGCGAATAGCAGAGGTTAATCGTGGTTTAGGAAGTCGACGTTATTGTCAACTAGAAAGAAATGAAGAGGCAGTTCAATGTTTCGAACAAATGTTAAGACTTATGACCGTTATTGGAGACAAGAAAGGTATAGCTGATGCTAAGATGAGTTTGGGGAGGTTTTCAAATCCCGCTTTAGAGGCGCAAAACAGTATCGATGTGGGAAACGCTTACGTGAATTTAGGTCATTATGACCAGGCTATCGACTGTTTCAGAAACTCGTTACAGATAGCAACGGCAATCGGCAACCAATATGGTATAGCTCGTGCTAATATGTATTTGGGAGATGTTTACAAAAGATTAAAAGACTATGAAAAAGCTATTAGCTATTTGATAGAAAGCTTAAAAATTAGCACGACCATTGGCAATACGTATTTAATGGCAGAAAGCAATCGCCAGTTAGGTAATATTTATTATTCTTTAGGAAAGGGGGAAATCGCAATTAGCCATTGGAAAAAAGCATTAGAATTAGGAACAGCAATTGACAATCAAGGAATAATAGCAAAGGTCAATCACAGTTTAAGCTACACTTACGTTCAGCTAGGAAGAAACGACGAGGCACTTTTATGTCTCGAAGAAGCGTTAAGACTTATGACCGCTATTGACGACCAGAAAGGGATAGCTGATGCTAACATGAGTTTGGGCAGATTTTATCAAAGAACGAAAGACTATAAAAAGGCAATTAGCTTTTGGAAAGTCAGCTTAGAAATTAGCACGGCTATTAGTGATCAGCCATCAATGGCAGAACAGAATAGAAATCTAGGTGATCTTTATCGTTGTATAGAAAAGTGGGAAAGCGCAATTGACCATTATAAGAAAACATTAGAATTGGGAAAACCAATGGGCGATCAAGAAAAAATAGCAGATGTCAATTGTAACTTAGGCAATTGTTACAGTAAACTAGAAAGCAATGAAGAGGCAGTTCAATGTTTTGAAGAAATGTTAAGACTTATGACCGCTATTGGCGACCAGAAAGGTATAGCTCATGCTAATATGTATTTAGGAGATGTTTACGAAAGATTAAAAGATTATGAAAAAGCTATTAGCTGTTTGAAAGAAAGCTTAGAAATTACCACGACCATTGGCGATACGTATTTAATGGCAGAGAGCAATCGCCAGTTAGCGAATAATTATTATTCTTTAGGAAAGTGGGAAATCGCAATTAACCATTGGAAAAAAACATTAAAATTAGGAACAGCCATTGGCAATCAAGGAATAATAGCAAAGGCCAACCACACTTTAAGCTACTCTTATATTGAGCTAGGAAGAAACGACGAGGCACTTTCATGTCTCGAAGAAGCGTTAAGACTTATGACCGCTATTGACGACCAGAAAGGGATAGCTGGTGTTAATATGAGTTTGGGGAGATTTTATCAAAGAACGAAAGACTATGAAATGGCAATTAGCTATTTGAAAGTCAGCTTAGAAATTAGCACGGCCATTAGTGATCAGTCATCAATGGCAGAACAGAATAGAAATCTAGGTGATCTTTATCGTTGTAAGAAAAAGTGGGAAAGCGCTATCGACCATTATAAGAAAACATTAGAAATGGGAAAAGCAATGAGCGATCAAGGGGAAACAGTAAATGTCAAATGTAATTTAGGCATTTGTTACATTAAACTAAAAAGAAATGAAGACGCACTTCAATGTTTCGAAGAAACGTTAAGAATTTTCACCGCCATTGGCGACAAGAAAGGAATAGCTGAGAGTAATAGCCGTTTAGGACACATCTATTCTTTTTTCAGTGAATATGAAAAGGCATTTGCTTACTTGAATCGCGCTTTAAACATATATAATGCTATTGATGACCAAGATGGAATTAAATATGTCAGTAACGAATTGGGCCGTGTTCACCAGCATAAAGGTGAATACAGCAAAGCCATCGAATGGCACAGAAAATCTTTAGAGATAGCAAATACGGTCTCTGACAAAAAAGGTATAGTAGAAGCCAATTATGATTTGTCATCAATTTACCAAAGAATAGGAGAGAATGAGAAGGCCAGTAGCTATATAAAAGATAGCTTTAAAATCGCCATGGCTATTGGTAATCAGTCATTAATTGCAAAATACTATTTCTATTCAGGTAATATAGAATTTAAATTCAAAAAGTGGGACAAAGCAATTGACCATTATGAGAAAGCATCTAAAATTTTCATAGCAGAGGGCGATCAAACTGCCATAATCACGATCAATGGCAACTTGGGAACTTGTTACCGTGAACTAGGGATGTATGATAAGGCTTTGAATTATCACAAAGAGAGTTTAGAATTAGCCAAAACGACTGGAATGCGATCAGGGATTGCAGAAGCAAACAGAGATATGGGCATCATTTATAGACTGTTAGGTGATAGTGAAAAAGCCATTGAATATGGTACAAAAAGTTTAGAAATAAGCACCATTATTGGCGAGCCGTTTATGAAAATACGCAGTTGTGAAGAACTTGCAAATGTTTATAAGAGTTTAGGAGAATATAAACTGGCATCATCATATTTAGTAAAACTTATTAAAATTCTAGAAGAGCAGTTCCAAAATAAGGTTCCAGATGAAAACAAACTCTCCTTCACAACTTTTTTCTGTAGGGCCCATGGAGAGTTAATGAGTTGTTTTGTTTCTTTGGGGCGAATAGAATCAGGATTATTAGTGACTGATCTGGGAAGGGCTAAAGAGCTCCATTTTTCTATTGAAAGAAAACAAAATTATTTCGATGCACAATTGTCTCATTACGCACAATCAATATGGAGCAAAATTGAGAAAAGTGAAGAAAATCGAGAAATAGAGCGAATACAGAACATCCTTCAGGTAAAAAATGATGAAATTTCAATAGTGTTATTTGCGTTTGATTTCAATGAAGGGTCTCTGAAAGTTTGGGTTTTGAATAGTGATGTCACCTTTAAGTGCTTACATGCATCGAATATATGGGCGTTTGTGATGAATTTTTCCGCAAGGAGAGGTGTCAACGTTAATCGAGATTCTTCATTTTTTAAACTTGATTCACTTGCGAAGGAACATACTTTTGAAAGTCCTATGATCTCACCGCCAACCAAGCCGTGCAAAAGGGAAAAGCCTGAAGGCTGGCTTGAAAAACATTCGAGCGCCGATAATTGCAGTGATGAAAATAGTTTGAAAAAGCTGTTCGATTTTCTCATTCAACCGATAAGAGATGCCGTCAAAGGAAATAAGCTCATTGTTGTTCCTCACGGGCCACTGTTTTTTGTACCATTTTCTTCCCTGATTGATGAAAATAGGAAGTATTTATCCCAGAGTTACAGCATTCAAATAACGCCCTCATTACACACTCTGACGTTTACAAAAGAACAACCCCATGAGTCTGACCTCGGTTTTGCGTTGTTTGTTGGTAATCCAAAAGTTGGGAAGGTTTCTTTGCATGGCGAAGCTGTCACACCTGCTGACCTACCCAAAGCAGCTGAGGAAGTTATAAGTCTCTCGAAGCTCTTCACAGCTAGGCCTCTCGTAAATGCTGAAGCGAAAAAACAGGTTGTTCTCAGACTTCTAAGTGGTGCTAGTATAATTCATATTGCTGCTCATGGTGAACGAAAGAGAGGTGAAATAATGCTTGCTCCTGACCCTTCTTTAAATGAACCATCTTCTTCTCTTCCTAAGGAAGATTCCTATCTCCTCACACAACAGGATATTACGAGTATTTCATTGCAAGCTCGCTTGGTCGTCCTATGCTGTTGTTACACTGGAAAAGGTGAGCTTTCTCCAGAAGGTGTCATAGGTGTAGCTCGGTCTTTTCTTGCTGCTGGAGCTCGCTCTGTTCTCGCCACACTCTGGCCCATTAGTGATGATGCAACAAAGGAGTTTATGGAAGCATTCTACGGCGAACTGCTACAGGAAACACCAGTTTGTGAAGCTTTAAGAAGGGTAATGAACCTCTTTCAGCAACATGAAAGAGAAGATTACCGCTCGTTTTTAATTTGGGCTCCATTTACTCTCTTTGGACATGATGTGATGTTTACAAAAGGCGACATTAAAACAATCAGAGAAAAATCCAGTCGAACTCTACCCGAGGGTGGTTTTGCGTTGTTTGTTGGTAATCCAAAAGTTGGGAAGGTTTCTTTGCATGGCACAGATTTTACACCTACTGATCTACCCAAAGCAGCTGAGGAGGTTGCAAGTCTTTCGAAGCTTTTCACAGCAAGGCCTCTCGTAAAAGCTGAAGCAAAAAAACAGGTTGTCCTCGGACTTTTAAGTGGTGCTAGTATAATTCATGTTGCCGCTCATGGTGAACCAAAGAAAGGAGAAATATTGCTTGCTCCTTCGAATGAACCATCCTCGTCTCACCAGAATCCAGATTCCTTTCTTCTCACACAAAACGATATTAGGAGTACTTCATTGCGAGCTCGCTTAGTTGTTTTATGCTGTTGTTATACTGGTGAAGGGGAGATTTCTTCAGAAGGTGTCATAGGTGTAGCACGGTCTTTTCTTGCTGCTGGAGCTCGCTCTGTTCTCGCCAGACTCTGGCCCATTAGTGATGATGCAACAAAGGAGTTTATGGAAGCATTGTACGGGGAACTGCTTCAGGAAACACCAGTTTGTGAAGCTTTAAGAAGGGTAATGAGCCTTTTTCAGCAACACGAAAGAGAAGATTACCGCTCGTTTTTAATTTGGGCTCCATTTACTATCTTTGGACATGATGTGATGTTTACAAAAGGCGAGATTAAAACAATCAGAGAAAAATCGAGCGAAACTCTACCCGAGTGTGGTTTTGCGTTGTTTGTTGGTAATCCAACGTCAGACTTGCCTAAAGCCACTGTGGAGGTTAATTGTCTTTCAAAGCTTTTCAAAGCAAAGGCCTTCGTGGAGGGCGAAGCCAAGAAACAGGTTTTGCTGGGACTTTTGACCGGGGCAAGTATTATCCATATTTCTGCACACATTGAAGCTCAGCAATGTGGAATAATGCTTTCTCCATGTGTCTCCTCGAGTGTGGAGGATGATATTTTGACGCAAAAGGATATCCAGGGCCTTTATATGAAAAGTAGCTTGGTTGTTTTATGCCTGTGTCATTCTGAGCAAGACGAAATCTCTCCAGAATGTGTTGAAAGTTTAGCTCTGTCTTTTCTTGCAGCCGGAGCTCGCTCTGTTCTTACCACACTAAGGCACAGTGATGATGATGCAACAACGGAGTTTATAAAAGCGTTTTATAATCACTTACTGCATGAATCATCAGTCAGGGAGGCGCTAGAGAAGACAAAGAAACTCTTTGAAAAGCACGATAAAGAGGCGTACCGATCATTTGTAATCCGGGCTCCGTTTACACTCTACGGCGAAGATGTGATGTTTCAAAAACATGACATCGAAACGATAAAAGAGAAATCTCACAAAATGTTTTCTGGTTTTGTTGTTTTACCACCATTAGATGAGCTTACTGGTTCGTTTCAAAAAACACCATTAGATGAGCTTACTGGTTCGTTTGAAAATCTTGATGTACAAAATAGATCTTAGTATAGGTTATTGTTGCGCATTTTGTAGTTTAGTTTAAAGAGGGGTATTTACAAGTTCTGTTTGGATCTATTAGACAGATATCCGAACATTGGGTAGATTTCTCAGTCTTTGCTTATACGAAAGAGATTTTCCAGCGATTCACCCTTCAGCGTGGATAAACACAAGATTCACTTAGAACACAGAAAAATACATAGTTCTGATTGTAGAAAAGAGCGTAAATTATACTTCATTAATTGCATGAAGCGTCAGGTTGTGTAAAAAGTTGAATCCGCGTTGCGCTAACGAACGTGAATCGTGTATAATCATTATATAATCTTGACTTGGAAATGTTTTCGTTAGGCCTTATTCGTGTATGTAGACACAGTTTTGACAAAAAAGTATTACCTGACATGTATCTGTAATTTTTCACAACAATTAGCAGCTATTTTCCAGTGAATGATGTGCGTAAGAAAATCAGTGATTCCATCACACGCTGTTCTCCACGAAAAACCTTCTGGTTACGTTCCAGGCGTAAGTATTAATATTCAAACTTTAACGTTCAATAGTTTATAAACCGTTCCAAATTCGAAGATGCTGCCAAGCTGCTGCTTATTATGTGGATCATGCGACTCTGAATTTGTTTTTTTAAAAAATTACAAAACATTATACCGGCCAGCGATGTTATTAAAACAGGCTGGTGGAACCAACGTGCACTATCTTCGAACTTCTTTTTGAATCAATTCATTTAATGGCAGGAAAAAATTAACACATTTTCTGAAAGAATACCAAATACGCATGCGCTAACCAAAATTTTAAGAAAAATTATTTGAAAGAAAACAAACCAACAAATATTGTCCTTAATAAGTTAATTGGCTTGCAGGTACACCACGTAAGAATAATAAATACTTACGTAGTGTACCTATACAAGCTAATTTACTTATTTGACATTACCATGCAAACGTACAAGAATATTATAAACATTGTCGTATTCAACATTTCTTAGATACACGAACTAGTACCGTGTATAGGATTTTATACTCCACCATAAACCGGTATCTTTTTTCCAGAAATTCTAAAAAATACTTGGAGAATGCAGTTTGCGTAGACAAGCAGCTTAACTGCAGCTGTTCTTTAAAACACTATTAGCGAATTTAATCCAGAAATTGCATTTTCCAAAAAATGTTAATTTTTAATGGAGGATAATCAGGAATTGCTGAAGAACAACGAAAAACGCTAACTCAGCAGCGCTTGAGAAACCATAATAATGGAAATAACAGCGAAAAATATTTCGTTGTTCTGAGCACAATCAATTAGCTTAACGCTATTTTTAATGTTAGGTATCTGACATTTAGTATAGTAATCTTAATTTTTTCATTGCATGAAAAATCTATGTATAAATTGTAAGACAGTACACAGCACCTAGTTTTCTCCAAAGGAAAAACGACCATTTACTTAAAACCAACATTCCATAACCTGGTGGAAGACAGCATCAGAGTTGCATTGGTATATTACACGACTGAGAATCAACGAGTGTGGTGAAATGATTTGAGTTTTGATGTCTCATACAAAAAGACCACATCCCGAACTTGGAAGCAGCGAGAGTCTATTTATTGGTCGTACGAAAATCTGCCAAGAACACATTCCGTATTAGATTGAGTCACTTAAAACTCGTATTGTACACAATTATTCAAACGCTCTTCGCAAGTTCACAATCACAAGTTGCCATTAAATGAAATACCGTGAATTTTGCTGCGGAAACTCGCCGCAAATGCACATTCTTAACAGAGCATAAATACTGTTGTCGTGAAAATACGTAAACCAAGAGCGACGATGTTTGAAGAAATTAACTTAAATACGAGAACGAAAAACGGTGAAATTCCTGTGTTTGTGCAAAATGCAGAATGATATAAGCTGAAAGATAGAAGACTAAACAAGATAATTAGGCCTATCGATGGTTACCATCTGGTGAACAATGATTGTGTGTTAATATGATCAATATGAATCTCTATTGCTTACAACGATTCCAAGAGGACTTTCTCGGAGGATGCAAAATAACTTCAACCACGAAGCAATGAGAATACTATAAATAGATTTATGGTCCAAAGGGTGTTGGTTTAAAGCTCGTAGATCATTAACTCGATCATTGTGATTTTATTCGAACAGTATAATTCACGAGAGATGGGCAAATGCGTCGAAGATTCTATGTTGCATGCAAGAAACTACGAGGATATGATGATCCACAAGATGGTTATAAGGAATGTTGGTCATAACTTCAATAGAGACTTGGAGTTAGGCTTAGCTGATCAAATAATTTTTGCAAGTCACAGTCGTGCCAGTGAAATTGTTCCTATATAATTTACACATCAGTTTATTTGCTCGTTAACAATTAAAATTTTGCAATCTCGCTGTAAATTACCGAAAAGGCCAAAATCATCTGTATCTTACCTCTCACCTTGTTTGCCTACAATTGGAAAATCACAAAAATATTATCAGAATCAGGCACGCAGTGTCAAAAACTCCCAGACCAAATGATTTGTTTTGCAAATGAATTAAATTAAGCTACAATATTTTTTGAACACTTTCATTACCACGGCTGTAGCTCGGCATGATCTTTAACTGCCTACTACAGGTGGCGATATCTTGATTATCCTCCATTTGTTCACGTGATAACACCTTATTTGATGCATTTCTTATAACGCGACTTCTGTCGGACACAGGAACTAATATAGTAATTTAATTAACGTATTCACTACAAATATCACTTCACACAGTAAACATTTTAGCATAAAATCTAGACTTTATAAAGGACCAAAGTATTATTTGGTTATTAATAATTAGTAAAAGCATGAACATCAATCTTAGTTAAACTTTTTATCTTTTAATCGTATTTGATTGTCTCTCAAAGACACCATTTTAGTATTTACCCATGTATGCTATTTCAATATTTAAAATATATACTGTTGTTTTAAGAATCAAATTGTTTATTTTAAGAATCAATGTCTTTACATTTTAGGCAAAGTTAATCAAGGTTTTTATGTTTGATTTCAATATTGTCAGATTAAGTTTTTTAATATTATTCTGTGACAAGACATGAGTGCATGAAATTAGTGAATGAGTGAAACATTGCTATTGACTGCAAGGAAATATAACTTTGTGAACAATAATTTCCAAATAATAATTCAAAAGCAATGGCGGAGCATGAATTGTGCTCGAATATTTACAAAAAATCGAAATATCACCGTTATCTTGTTTAAGGCTCATTTATTGAGTTCACAAAACGTTGTACCAAGGCACAGTTTTCTACCTTATACTTCCTTCATTAACACCCTTCTCGGGAGGTTGTTCGCTCTCTGTACTTACAATTCCAAAGCAATGGCGGAGCATGAATTGTGCTCGAATATTTACAGAAATATTTTAAAATATTTTTCTTTCGTAGAAAGGTAAGCATTCACGTTTTTTATTCTGTTGTCTGTGTGCCGGTTACAAAATTTGTACTTTAGTATACTTTAGTAATTCCTTTAGTTTTTTCTTCTGGTTTCTTAATTGTGATAGATTTTTAAATTTTTTTGTGAAATTGAAAGTTTGTTTATTGCCATCGCAGTCAAGGAGTTTAGATGCCTTGCTTAAGCACTATGTCTATGTCGTTGTAAAATCGTCTTGTAAAATCGTCTGTAATTTCTCCATTGTTTTGAATTCCGGTATGTGTCTGATGTTCAAAGGAGCATTTTCTCCCATGCAAGGATTTTCGGGAAATATAAACTCGTCAAATCTTATTAGGATATGAACTCGTTTCACAATTTCTCTGTGACACCTCGGTATGTTTGTATTCACAAAACAAGCCTTCAGAGCAGTATAGTATATGTCATGACAGAACAGTATATGCCATGAACTAGATTAAAAACAGTAGACACTCAGTGAAGTAGCCTCAAATATTTTCATAATTCGATCAAAACATTTGCAGAAAGTGATTCTGACGAACGAGTTTGCAATACGTGGGTACTATTCACAGTAAACTTCCTTGAGAATCTCCGTCCTCAAAAAACAGCTGTAGGGCAGTTGTAAGAGTGTTAATTGATAGGTATACGGTCAGCCTCGTACCTAGGCGCTTTATTGGAAAACATAAAGGCTGCATTCAGCGTAATATAGAGATCTGTGGCTAAAATGTGCGAGCGCGCAGGGGTGCTTGGGGAGGACGCGACGGGAGAACGAAGCGCCTGGCAGAATATGCAGATTTCCGGCTCCTTTTTTGCAAGAACAATTGAAAGATAGATTAGTCTATTCATCGAGGCGAGTTATTTGTTTTATACCACACCAAATAAAACACCAAAAAGATCGTTGTTTTTGAATAAAACGTTTGTGTTTATGAATAATTCCATGGGCCTTATTCGAGATTCGTGATCAAATGCGTGCAAGTACGATTCAATACTGTTACTGAATTTTGTGAAAACTCCTCTCGAGTAAACAAACTTTTCGTTGTTCGCATGCAGCAATGTGGATCACCCTATTTCTGCATACCTCGGGATGATCCTGGGGTGCAAAAACATGGATGTAATATGCATGAGAAGTATTACTCGTTATAAATTGTGAAAAAGCACAATACTTAGTTATTTTAAGTGAAAAACATTGACCTTTAACCAACACTCTATAGCCAGGTGGAAAAACAACATCTGGATTTTTCTTGGCATATCATCTGAATAAAAAGAAGAAGTATGATAATTATAATGATTCGAGTCTTCGTGCCTTGTACAGAAGACCACGTCCCAAATTAGCAAGCAGTCATGGTCTAACTTGTCACGCGAGAACATTCCGTATGCTTTGAAGAAATTTCAAACTTTAAAAAAATCAGTCAAAGAAACTTCAAAAGGAAACCACGAGTAACATAATCACGAGTTGCAAAAGAATGCAAAGTTGTCAAGTTTCTGTGGAAAACTTTGGGGATTTGCGCGTTTCAGCGGAAACGGGGCGCACGATTGTGTAAAATACAGAAAGACAAGGTGGAAGATGAAAGCCAAACATTATAATTATCAATATTACCATGTTGTTTACAGTGACTGAAGTAAAAGTTAATATTGATCTCTTGCACCTAAGATTATAACATGTTTCTTTCAAAGGATTGAAAATGACTTCTTATATCAAAGCAAAGGCAGTGCTATAAATGGACTCAAAAGGCATGAGTTTATTTCTTCAACTTGATTATCGTGATTATGTTCGAACTGTATTTCAAGTGGAAAAGGTGGTATATTGTCTCATGAACTTCACACCCTGAAGCGAACGAAACTAACAAAAAGGATGTACGTGGACAGTCCACACGATGGTTATAGGAATGTTGGTGATAATTTAAATAAAGATATACCGAGTTAAGCTTAGCCTTATCAAATGATACGAAAGTGGTGGAAACAGAAGTTTTCCTGATAAACTTTTTAGTTTATTTGCTTATTAAGTTACGATTTGACACCTCGCCGTACATTTGATAAACATCCTAATCATTCTAAAATCACCTATGATTTTGGTCTTAATTGAGATCTAAACTTATTTGAAGTGAGAAGTTGATCAATTAAATAAAAAGTAAAACAACACGAAACATATGCAACGAAGAAAAATGACAATATATCAGGAACACTTTTATTACATCAGCAGCTGCAATACCCCACGATCTTTAGCTTCCTAACACTATTGCTGAGCTCTACATTATCCTCCATTTGTTTCATATACGGAATTTTCCTTTTTTTTTATACTTCATTACGACATTACTTTTATTGAATACAAAAGTATAAAATAGTATAATCAAAAGTAGTTATTATCATTTAACAATTAGTAACTATCTTAGCATAAAATTGGGACTTTGGAAGACCAATGAATTAGATTCAATTTTAGTCGATGACTATAATTTAAATTAGTCCTAATTAAATCAGACCTGAAATCGATGAAAAATTGATTTATTTGCCACCGTAAAAAATGTAACCATGCATGCATAATTATAATATGATTTGAATAATTACAATATATTGTTGTTCCAAGAATCAAAATGGTTGCTTTGATGATTCAATATATCATGGTCTAATGAATCCCGACCCATTTACGATAAACACAGCCACTGTCTTCCATCCGACAAATCAGCCTTCCTATTATGTATGAGCCATCGATTGTTTAATTAAATGTTTCATATAATATTAATAGTGTTAAAATAAAGCCCACAATGCTGGCCCACTTAAACGGGATTTTCATTAAAATCTGTTCAAAAGGCAATGCTTTAGTTAACTACCCGTCATGTTCGACTTAACGTAGTTTTCACAGGCGAAATTTTTCAATTGAACGAATTTTTCGATTCTTTTCAATTGTGACCGGTCAAGGGGATCCGCTACGCTAGAATTCTTACAGCGCTTATGTAGTTTTTCAAATCGAATAAAGGCGATCCGTCATATTTTAAAATAATTCCTCATGAATACTAATTTCAAGGAAGTTCATAATTAATAACCAGGTTTTTTTGAATTTAAAAGTAGTTTGAATCCGCCTAGCTGTGATTATTATTGAAATAGGGGAAAAACTATTGGACATGATATTTACTGCACACATAGTAGCGTCAGTTAATAGAATCTCCATAGAAACTGTCTTCTCGCCAGCCGCAATCGCGACTCAAACAGATTGACACGTTTAACGCTTTATATCGATCTTACAACAAATTTTACGAAGACGGAAGGAAGATCTAAGGACGATCTGCAACCGCCCGCAACTGCATGCTAAAACACATTTGAAGGGTTTGGGTAAGAGTTGTGTATATGGAATCAAAGTGTGACACCAAGTATACGTTTTCAAAACTGCAAACTTGTGGACGCGATTTCCATTCTAATATTTTTTGCTTTTATGTAAGAAAAGGTGGGGGGAATGTTTTCCTGTTTCATCTAACTATTTCAAGATGAATTGCGTGAGTATAGTTATAAGCAGCATCTTAAATGTCTCATCAAGTGTCAGGTATGTTAATGGATCATCGCATTGAGCGTGAAACACCGTGTAGCGATGAAAATATTTTAAGATTAAACATTTATATATATAGTGGATCGAAAAGGTTGTCTGAAAATAATATATACATATATACAAATAGTTGTAACAAGTGACCACTGACTGTAACATGTCCGACAACTATTTGTATATATGTATATATTTTCAGACAACGTTATATCTATATAAATTCAAGAGGCAGGACCGTATCGTAGCCAACCGCGTAGCGTATTCCTTTGTTTCAAAGACATTAGTTCTACCGAGTGCCCAGCAAAGAATTATAATACGCTACATGCACAATTTCTAGGTTAGATATTCAAAAAATTCTGGCTATTCACTTCATTTTAACTCAAATTCACCTGCTTTAAAGGTAAGTTTTGACTGGATGTAATTAAAACTCACAGCAGGCGAGATTTGTCGTCGCAAAACAGCTCGCGCGAATAAGGGTCCATTATTGCTCAAACTTGTTTTCTATAGTAAATCTAGTTTTCCAAATCTTGTGATTTCGATATCATTATTCGTTCCCCACGTTCCGAACATGTACGTCGGTTCTCTTTCCCTTTGATTTGGTCGGTTAATGCGCAGGTTATTTGACTTATTTTGCTTTCTTTCAATATTTCATTTGAGCTATTTTTGAGTCCGCTAATTCTGACGTCCATGTGACATATAACCGACCGTGAATGTGTAACGCAAGTTCTCCAATCGTTCCTCTCGTTCGTTTTCAACATTCTATGAGCTCTCCGGCGGCAGCCATTAAGGTCTTTGTTAATAGTTTTACGCCCACCACAACAAGACTCCATATATAACCTAATGATGCTAAAGCATCTGTATTCAATGCATAATTTTCACTTGTCGAGCTCAAGCACGAATCGCCCAACTAGTTTCTCGTGAAATCTTGTTTCCAATTCTTGAAAGTTTTGTCATTCATTGTTTGCTATCATTCCAAGGATGCGCGTTGGTTCTAATTCCTTTTTTTGTCTTCTAACAGCATTGTCTGAATTTATCATCAGCTGCTTTGCTTCTAGTCCAATATTCATTTTGAAATCTTTCATCTCGACATCAGTAGACAAGGTCAATCTAACATGCGGAATTGTTCTCCAGAGACCGTGGGTAGGCAAGTGAGCACATGCCATCCGAATTAATAATTAATATAAGCTACACAACAAAAATATAAGAAAGCTAGCTAAATTAATGCCAAAAAAAATGTGAGCAAATTAATTGAAAAAAGAAGCTTCTTAGAATTTGATCGTTCAATGCTTGGCAATGCGAGATCAATAAGTCGGAAACTGAGCATATTGGCTTTCCCAACGTACATTCACTCGCACGAGCTCTTTTCTCCGAGCTCTCACACTGTACACCTGTCATTATCGACATCCAATGTGAATGATGTAACACTAGCCAGTTCTCTAATGGGTCTGTCGTTCGTTTCAACATTCTAACGATGCTTTCGACTGAAGCACAAACGTCTGCTTTTTCTAAGAATTCCTGTCTGATGAATCCCTTATTTCCTTTAATATAAAAACTTAATATAAACCATCTTAATATAAAAATTCTCATATATATACCGGATTGCAATCCTCGAGGATGGTAAAAGGCAAGTAGGATATTAAGTAAACCTTATTGTATCGTGGTTATGCTGAGGTAATCCTTTTTAAAGTTGAGACCGTATAAAAAGCGAATATGAAGCATTACGCTTTCGCATAGGGTGAAACCGCAGTACTATGGTACGTGTGCTAAAAAACCATCATGATAAATAAAAATCACTGAAACGAGCTGCACCGTTGCACGAATAAAGGTTGCGGAGCAATCCTATACAGATTGTAGGGATAACGAACTACCGCGACAGGTATGATAAGCAATATATATTCTACCTTTACAAAGAGCCTGCGTTCTGTGAATACTATTATATCTGCACGTATACAATGCATGATGCCGTGCATTGCCGTCTAAATTAATAATAGCCCAACTTATGATCTAGGTAAACAAGAAGGAAATTAATCACCACAGGCGGGTACAGCTGAAAAGAACATACGCGATTAGTGTAATTGCCAAGTTTGGCTGCAAAATGTCATGTAGTACGGAAAATATAGCGAAGTAGGCAATTTTAAATACTATGCTTGCAGTACAAAAGTGGCGGAAGTGTTAAATACACTCTTCTGACCATAATAGAAAAGTACACGTTGAATGTTGCTAACTTCGTTTAGCTTATCTTCGGTACTTATAAATTCAGGGCCGTAACTAGAACGATAATTGGGGGGGTGTTTATCATAATCAGTCTTGCCCAACGGATTTCTATTGTAAGCTATTGCACTTACAAAAGAAACCCGTCGGGCAGAACTGAATATATGAATAAACACCCCCCAATTATCGTTCAGTTAAGGCACTGTTTATAATATTTCGCAGCTAAACTAGCAAGTTTTGTACGCCCTTCTTGGATATTCCCTTCTTGCGCCTAAATCAAAAGTTGGTCTATTACGCAAGTGGTCTATTACACGATAACTTCTATCAGAATGCAAATATTTCGCTCCAACGAAACCATGTAATATGACACGCTTGCGGTTGGTGCCCAATGGAATGTGCTTGGTTATAAACTGTTGCTCAAACACTAGCTCATTGTTTAGTTTTAGAATATTAACGAATGTTTTGTGCAATTGTCTGCACTGTATTCGGTAGTAAAAACTTTCTTACTTGGAAAGGAAGGATAAATTTTGCCCAAGGTATCTTGGTCGCGTACATTCTTATTAAAGTGCAAGATTTCAAACCATAAGTTGCGGTCGGCCGGATTGGTACGAGTAAGACAATATGATAAACAATAAGCGTCTCTTGTATTAAACATGACAAACGATTGATGCAATTAAATTTTCATGTCGGTTCCCCCTCCGTATGAATGAAAAGCAATTTAGAATCAAAATAGTTTTGCTAAATTTTCTCCTTTCACTTTGTATGCCAGCGATTCTTTGAAATATTTCGACCAATAAATAATGATATGCATGCACTGTCTCGAAGACTAAAATAGCGAGCTTTAGCAGTGACTACGAGTACGACTACGAGTACGAGATTCGTCATTCTCGTGCGTTGTTTGCTTACGCTATCAGTCAAAACTCGTAATCGTTGGGCTTTCGAGTACGAAGTTCATCAAAAAACTCGTACTCGAAAGCCCAACGACTACGAGTTTTGACTGATGGCGTAAGCAAACAACGCACGAGAATGACGAATCTCGTACTCGTAGTCGTACTCGTAGTCACTGCTAAAGCTCTCTAAAAACAAGACGGTTGCTAAGCGTTGTACTCGAGCTAACGAGTTAATTCCTATCGATGTTTCGGCTATCGATCATATTGATTCTACTGCATACGTCAATTTTATGTGAAATCGTTTGAAATCTGTCTTGAAGATTTCTTCAATCTCAAAGTAAAGCAAACAATATTGATATCAAACTCGCGGTGAGTGGGTGAGAAGAACTTATGTTTGGCATGTTCTGCAAATTGCACTTTGTGCATAAATCCACGGTACTGCGTCATTAAAAATAAACATGGCACGACAGACTGTGCTTTCTCTTGCAATGGTTTGTTAAATATGTCGTACTCAATGTATCCATATTTCACACATTAATCTCTTCGTATTTAATCACAAACATTCCAAAATCCTTTTACGACTTTCGTCATGTGGTCTCATGTTACAACACATTATAATTATCGCATTGACGTCCCCAGCTCTTTTGGCTCAATTTTTTCGAACTTCAGTGTCCCTCAATTTACTATACAATTCTTCGTTGACTACATTTAATAAAGCCCGGGTCAAACGAGCATGAGAATTGATGAGAGTTGAGAAGCGAGAGTTGATCATGCAGATCATAGAGTAAAAAGAAGCGAGGCTACTATACCGGTGTCTAATCCTCTAGTTGTTAAGACAACTAACTTTGCTTGACTTAATGACTGATGAATAATGTTCAGATTTACTTCAAAATCCAAACGCGTTTAGACGAACTTTCCACCAACTAAACTGCAAAGGGCCCATCATAGCGAGGCTGCTATACCTAAGGCTAGTCTCAGAATAAAAGAGACCAAATACTTTAGGCCTGGTTAAATAAAATTCTTAACTTCGTTTGAGGTATTTTAGTCGCACGGTTTAAGGAACTTCCTTGACTAACTAACTGCCGCTAAAAGTTAACTACCTTTCTTCGGCTGGCGACAATCGTCGTAGGCATATGTTCACATGTAAAGACGTCCATCTTAATAAAAATTATATAATTTCAGACTGAGGAAGGCAACTTTATGCTGAAAAAGATAGAGCAGAAAAAGAATCCGAGCCACAATTAAGGTATTGAATATAAAAACCGTTCATAGAAAAAGTCACCACCAGTTGTAATCACGAAATATATAATTGCGTGCTAAAAAACACTACCTGATTGTTTTTTTCTTTGGTGTGATTATAAGAAGAGAAATCAGTATTATAAAATATTTCATATTCAGGACTTAGGAAAGATATAGAAAACACGCAAATGCATTAAATGCCAAAATAAGCTTGCTCAACAATGGCAGATCGTGCTTCAGGAAGAAATGAAGAGGTACTTCGCAGTATCGATTTGGGCCGTACTCAGGTGAATTTAGGTGACTATACCAAGGCAATCGATTATTTCCGAAAATCTTTACAGATGGCAACGGCGGTCGGTGACCAAGCAGGTTTGGCAGAAGCCAATTTCTATATGGGTGATGTTTACCAAAAATTAGAAGACTATGAAAATGCCGTCAGCTGTTTGAAAGACAGCTTAGATATTAGCACGACTATAGGCAATCAATTATTAATGGCAGAAAGCAATAGCGCTTTAGGTAGTATTTATGGGAGTTGTTTAAAAAAGTGGGAAATTGCAATTGAATATTATAATGCAGAATTAGGGTTGGGAGCAACCATTGGTGATCAAAAGCAGATAGCAAAGGTTAATTGCAATTTGGGCGTTTGTTACCATGAACTAGAAAGAAATGTAGATGCAGTTCAATGTTACAAAGAAATGTTAAGACTTATGAGTGCGATTGGCGACCAGAAAGGAATAGCTGAGAGTAATAGCCGTTTAGGCGAAATCTATCTTGGTTCCAGTGACTATGAAAAGGCATTTGTTTATTTTAAACAAGCATTAAACATATATAACGCTCTTGATGACAAAAATGGAATTAAAGATATCAGTATCAATTTGGGCCGTGTTCACCTAAACTTAGATCAATACAGCGAGACCATCGACTGTTACGGAAAATCTTTAGAGATGGCAAAGAGGGTTGGTGACCAAGCAGGTATTGCACGAGCCAATTGTCATTTGAATTGTGTTTACCAAAGATTAAGAGAGTATGAAAAGGCCAAAAGCTATTTGGAAGACAGCTTTATAATCGGCACGGCCATTGGTGATAAGTCAGTAATGGCACAAATCAATTTCAGTTCAGGTAATATTTTTAGTTCTTTCAAAAAGTATGAAACTGCAATTGATTATTATGAGAAAGCATTAGAATTTTACACAGCAGAAGGCGATCAAAGCTCAGTAGCCAGGATCAATAACAGCTTGGGATCTTGTTACATTTCACTAGGAAATTTTGATGCCGCTTTGATTTATCACAAAAAGAGTTTAAACTTAGCCAATACGACTAAAAATCCATCAGCGATAGCACAAGCCAATAGACACATCGGTGTTGTATATAGACTGTTGGGTGATAATGAAAAAGCGATTGAACATGGTAAAAAAAGTTTAGAAATAAGCACTGTTATTGGCGAGTCGCTTCTGATATCATATAGTTATCATGATCTTGCAGATGTTCATCGGGGTTTAGGAGAATATAAAGTTGCATCAACATATTTAGTAAAATCTATTAGAGTACTTGAAAAGCTGTTCCAAAATTCAGTTCCAGATGAAAACAAACTCTCCTTCACAGGAATATACTCTAGCACCCATAGAGATTTAACTAGTTGCTTTGTTTCTCTGGACCGCTATGAATCCGGACTATTAGTGACTGATCTGGGTAGAGCTAAAGAGCTCCATTTTTATATTGAAAGAAAACAAAATTATTTAGATACAGAATTGTTTCCTAACGCACAATCTGTATGGAATAAAATCGAGAACGGGGAGGAGAATCTAGAAATAGAGCGAATACAAAAGATTCTTCGCGTAAAAAGGGATGAAACATCAGTTGTGTTATTTTCCTTTGAAAGTGAAAGTTCTCTGAATGTTTGGGTTTTGAATAGTGATGTAACCTTTAAGCGCCTGATGTCAAATGAAGCATTGAATACATTGGAGTCCCTGATGACTCAGTTTTCCACAAATACAAGTGTCAATATCAATCGAGATTCTTCATTTTTTAAACTTGATTCACTTGCGAATGAACATAGTTTTCATAGTCACATGAGCTCACCGCCAACCAAGCCGTGTAAAAGAAAAAAGCTTAAAACCTTGCACGCAAAAAATCCGAGCGACGATCATTTCAGTGAAGCTATTTTAAAAAGACTTTTCGATCTTCTCATTCAACCAATAAGAGATGCCGTAAAAGGAAATAAGCTCATTATTGTTCCTGACATGCAATTGTTCTTTATTCCCTTTTCTTCATTGATTGATGAAAATGGGAGGTATTTATCTCAGACTTACAGCATTCAAGTAACGCCCTCATTACACACTCTGACGTTTACGAAAGAACAACCCCATGACTCTGAACTCGGTTTTGCGTTGTTTGTTGGCAATCCCAAAGTTAGGAATGCTTCTTTGCATGGCACAGATTTCACATCTGCTGACCTACCCAAAGCAACTGAGGAAGTTGCAAGTCTTTCGAAGCTCTTCACAGCAAGGCCTCTCGTAAAAGCTGAAGCAAAAAAACAGGTTATTCTCGGACTTTTAAGTGATGCTAGTATAATTCATATCGCTGCTCATGGTGAACCGAAGAGAGGTGAAATAATGCTTGCTCCTGACCTATCTGCAAATGAACCATCTTCTTCTCTTCCTAATTCAGATTCCTATCTCCTCACACAGAAGGATATTACGAGTATTTCATTGCGAGCTCGCTTGGTTGTCCTATGCTGTTGTCACACAGGGCAAGGTGAGATTTCTTCAGAAGGTATCATAGGTATAGCTCGGTCTTTTCTTGCTGCTGGAGCTCGCTCTGTTCTCGCCACACTCTGGCCCATTTGTGATGACGCAACAAAGGAGTTTATGGAAGCATTCTACAACGAACTGCTCCAGGAAACACCAGTTTGTGAAGCTTTAAGAAGGGTAATGAACCTCTTTCAGAAACACGAAAGAGAATATTACCGATCCTTTTTTATTTGGGCTCCATTTACTCTCTATGGAGAGGATGTGACGTTTAAAAAAGGCGACATTGAAAGGATCAGAGAGAAATCCAGTGAAACTCTACCCGAATGTGGTTTTGCGTTGTTTGTTGGTAATCCAACGTCAGACTTGCCTAAAGCCACTGAGGAGGTTAATTCTCTTTCAAAGCTTTTCAAAGCAAAGGCTCTCGTGGAAGGCGAAGCCAAAAAACAGGTTTTGCTGGGACTTTTGAGCGGGGCAAGTATTATCCATATTTCTGCACATATTGAACCTAAGCAATGTGCAATAATGCTTTCTCCATGTGTCTCCTCAAATGAAGGTTCTTCCACTCAGGATCTTTTAACGCAACAGGATGTTAAGGGTCTTTCTTTGAACCCTGGGTTGGTTGTTTTATGCCTATGTGATTCTGAGCAAGACGAAGTCTCTCCAGAAGGTGTTGAAACTTTAGCTCTGTCTTTTCTTGCAGCCGGAGCTCGCTCTGTTCTTTCCACACTAAGGCACAGTGACGATGACGCAACAACGGAGTTTATAAAAGAATTTTATAATCACTTACTGCATGAATCATCAGTCAGGGAGGCGCTAGAGAAGACAAAGAGAATCTTTGAAAAGCGCGATGATGAGGCGTACCGATCCTTTGTAGGTCGTTCTCCGTTTACAATCTACGGAGAAGATGTGGTGTTTCAAAAACATGACATTGAAACGATAAGAGAGAAATCTTTTTCTTCTGGTTTTGTTGTATTACCATCTGATGAGCTTACTGGTTCGTTTGAAAATCTTAACAAGCAAGATAAACCATAGTATAGGTGATGGTTGTCTATTCTGTAGTTCATGTTTAGGAAGGTTAATTTTACAGGTTCGGCTTAATATAATAATTTGTATGTTGTTTGATTCTTTTGTCCTCGCTTATACAAAAAAAGTCAGAAAGGGAGAGTATACCGGCTGCAAAATTTTATATAAAATTATATATTTTACTCAATCATGTAATCATGCGCTTAGGTTTGTATGAAATTCAAGATGTGAATTGCTAACGTATCCAAATAGTTCACAACCATAGTGTCATTACCTCAACCGGAGAATATGTAAGCATCTGGGTTTTATGTTTGTGTAAGTGACTTAAGTGTAAATGAATAAATACTAAGTGTATTTATTACAAATTTTGTGAGTGAATTTCTCTATCGGCCATTAAAGAATTGATTAAAATTTCGTTAAATTTGGTTATAGATTTTCTACCTTTCTACGGCTCTCCAAATGCCTTGTAGTACAAACAGAAATAGCTACTAAATTTATGTGAAATTTCTTCTGACCACAATTAACAGCTTTTTTCCAGAGTTTGGTGTGTGTTAGACAACAAGCGATTAATTCTTTGGATTAGGATCACAACGCAAAGATCTTTCTGGTTTGTTGTGTAAGTATATAATTCAACCTTCAACTCAGATTTAGTTTAGTAAACCTGCCTGAATGCAGGTGCATAGGCACTGCGCCCGCGAAACACTACTCTTGCGGTAAAGAGGAGAGGTTTTCTTGTTGCATCATCACATAGCTGATGAACCAATTCATGAATTGGAGAATCGAAGAGGCTGCCATGCTGCATGCTACTCCATCTGGATCATGTTTAACTACAATTCAATGCAATTTTCAAAAATGACCTAATGTCTTTTTCAACATTTCAAAGACAAACGAAATTGTTTCGTGCGTGAAATTTTTCCCTGAGTTTCTGCTCAATACCATACAATGGTATAAATAATAATGAATGTTTACGAGGGCAATGGTAAAGAATATTTTCACGAGGTGAAAGATGGATTATTCCATTCATTGAGGAGAATTATTTGTTTTATACAACACTAAAAAAACACCAAAAATATTTAATGTTATTGAAAAAACAGTTTGTGTTTATGAGTAATTCCATGTTCGGATTCGTGTGTTATCAAATGTGTGCAAGTACGATACGATTAATGCTGTGAGTGATTGAATTTTGTGAAAAAGCAACTGTGCATTGACAAATTAAAACTTGCACGCCTTGACGGTGCAATGGAAACATTCATTGCACCGTCAGCAGCTAAAATGGAAAAATTTTATCTAATGCCACGCAACCACAAACACTGAACCAATTGAAAGACATAAAATGAATGAGGTACTATTAAATAACTTTCAATGGAGGATAATGAAAAAATGCTCGTGAACAACGCTAGCTCTTCGCTTCTTCATATTAAGAAGAATTTGATTACTCGTTTTATAATCCCGGAAGTCAATACTCTTCTCGAGTAAACAAATTTTTCGTTGTTCATTTGAGCAGTGTTCTGCATACCTCGGGAAGGTCCTGGGGTGCAACTCCAAACATGGATCTAATATTAGTGAGAAGTAGCTATTACTCGCTATACATTGTGACAAAGCACAGTGCTTAGTTATCTTAAGTGAAAAAACATTGACCTTTAACACAATATCTATACCGGTGGAAAAACAAAATATTGATTCATTGGCATATACAAGAGAATAAGAAAGAAGAAGTATGATAATTATAATGATTCGAGTCTTCGTGCATTGTACAGAAGACCACGTCCCGAATTAGCAAGCAGTGATTTTCTAACTGGTCACGCGAAAACATTCCGTAAGATTTGAAGATATTTTAAACTTTAAGAAAATCAGTCAAAAGAACTTCGGAAGAAAATCACAAGTAACATAATCACGAGTTGCAAAGCAATGGAAAGTTGCCAAGTTTCTGTGGAAAACTTTGCGGATGTGTACGTTTTAACGGGATACAAAATAATGTGGACACCGAAACACCTAAATTAAGAACGACGAAGTTACATGAATTAAAAACAAGAACTAGACGTACGTAAAAAAGGAAAAGAGACGCGTGATTACGTAAAATACAGAAAGATAAGGTGGAAGATGAAAGCCAAACTATAATCATCAATATTTACCATGTCGTTTACAGTGACTGCAGTAAAAGTGTATACTGATCTCTTTCGCCCAAAATTATAACACGCCTCTTTTTAAAATTGAAAATGACGTACGTCTCATAGAAAAGCAATGGCAATACTATAAATTGATTAAAAGGATATGAGTTTACAACGTGTATATTTACAACTCGATCATCGTGATTATATTCGAACAGTATTTCTCGTGGAAAAGGTGGCATATTCTTTAATGAACTTCACACCCTGAAGCGATGGAAACTATCAAAAAGGATACGTACAGTCCACAAGATGGTTATAAGGAATGTTGGTCATAATCTAAGTAGACATATAGAAATTAGCATAGCCTATATTAATGATACGCAAGCCGTTGTAATGGAAGTGTTCTTATACATAAATCAATTAGTTTATTAATTTACTATTTTGAAACCTCACTATACATTTGATAAACGACCTCATCATGCTAATTAAGCCCTAAATTAAGCACTCGTCATGTCTAATTTAAGCACTCGTAATAAAGTTATTCGAAGTGAGAAGTTGATCAGTTAAACTAAAGGTAAAACGTCGCGATACAACCAAGAAAGAATATATCAATATATCAGGAACACTTTCATTACCACAGCAGCTGCAATACTTCACGATATTTAGCTTCCTATATAACACTACTGCTGAGCTCTGCATTATCCTCCATTATACGATATTTTCATTTTTTCATATTTCATAACCACATTACTTTTATTGAATACAAAAGTATGAAATAGTATAATCAAAAGTAGTTATTATCATTTAACAAATTAGTAATATCTTAGAATAAAATTGGGACTTTAGAAAACCAATGAATTAGATTCGATTTTAGCCGATTATTAAAATCTAAATTAGTCATAAATCGGTCGTAAATGAGTGAAAAAATAATTGATTTCTTTGTCTATTTTTAGTCGTATTGTAGATCGATATAGCATCACCGTAAAAAATGTAATCATCCATATAATATTATTCGAATAATTACAATATATTGTTCTTTCAAGAATCAAAATGGTTCCTTTGATTATTATATTTATCATGGACGAATGAATGCCGACCCATTTACGATATCTTCAAAACACAGCCACTGTTTTCCGTCCGACATATGCGCTTTGCATAAGCTATCGTTTGTTTGATTAACGTGTTTGATCATGCGATCAACGTGTTAGATTTCAGTTCCAACGTGACCAAATGTCGTGTTTAAAATGAGGCGCTATCAAATAAAGGAGCCGTGGGTACAAATAACACCAAAGATGCTGGCCTACTACGTTGAACGCGATTTTCATTAAAATCTGTTTTAAAAATGTGCTTTTTTATGGCTAATTAATAGCAATTGTTTAGATTAACTACACAACTGTGACCAAACAGTGTGAGGTTAAGCACTGATATTGATTGATCACAGGAAAATACAAACGATAAGGGGACAGCAGAAGCCATGCAGGTCTTGCATAAAATAAGTGTACTCTGATCCATCATTTTCAGATGTTTCATCACAAATCACAAATGAAAAGAATATTGTTGCAGAGAAATTACTGAATAATATCCCATTGACATATGCCATATGCACGCACGGCTTTCTATTTTTCAATACTTTCTCTTCCGATTCACTAAATTACTAATATTCGATTCCATACTTTATGAAGCGCAAAGTGGCTATTTTTTAACCTGGTAGTTTTTGGCGATCGCATCATTTTTGTTTTCGATTTATGCATGATATAAATACTGAATTCCCCCAGGGAGAAATAAAGTCTTTAATTGCGCATACATACAGTGTGTTAAAGAATGCGTACACCACTTGAGTTCGAGTTGCGCATGTATTCTTCGGTTGTTTTTTATTATTCTGTACGTGCAGCATTAAAACTATCTGTACAGCAGATAGTTTAAGGTTTATCGCTGCCGTTCACAGAGAAAAATTGCTGGTCAATAAATAAAGCGAGGGAGCATATACTTAGTATACCCGAGCAAACAAATTTTGAAATGACAAAATTTGACACCACCAGTCGAATAGTACATTTCGCAGATAACTTCGAAGAATTCGCTACTGCATTTTGCAAAGATTATTCTGTACCTGTACCAAGAATACCCGTTTAAATTGTTATGTACCTGTACCAAGAATACCCCGTTTAAATTGGTTGAAGGTTTCATCAGTTGGGATGAGTTCAGTCAGCCTCGTCATTGTGTAGAATTTCTTTATTCCATGCACCAGCGCATATGGAATGGTACCAAAGCAGTTTTGTTTCCTTCCAACGCCAAGGTTAGAATTAAACCACCTGTTAATTTTCAATATTCTTTATTTATTATGTAATTTCAGCTGCTGATGTGCTAAGCATCCAAAACTTTTTTGGATGGAACTTGCATTCAAAAAATGAATTATTATTTATTAGACTCTTGTGCCCAGACCTTGGCATGCCAGAAACTTGAAACCAAAAGAGTGCAAAAATAAAATGAAAAATGGTTATATGTACTCCTATAATGTTTTTAAATGTATAATAAGACAATTATATTGGATTTGGTTTTTCTATGAAATCAAGAATTATTCTGACATGGATCAATGTTATCAGCAAAATGATCTCGGTCAAATGTTATCTGCATCATTATTGGCATTAGGTAATTGACAATCACATATAGGAGTCCATTGTTAAATACAAAAAGTTGTGATTATGCAATCACATTATATAAAGGTTATTCTATAGCTATAAGACTAATCCTAATCCTGAAACAAATCCTAACCCTAATCTTATATCAGTATGTCTACTTTGTAAAGCCATTCCTTTATCCAGGAAAGGAAAACATTAATGACAAGATTTCTCTGTTGAAGGTAAATTTTGTAGTTTGAACATTCCAATGTGTTCCTAAGGTAGCTAATATATAGAACTCGTTTTTTATTATAAAAAAACACAGTAGAGAAAAGAAAGGTCCAGGTAATTTCCATATTTACAACCGAATAAGGCAGCCTAAGGTTGATTAAGCTCTGATAACTCCTCACCTAATTATTTTTAGGATAGATTGAATATATCCCTACTTAATTTTATCTGTGCTCAGCCTAGTGTAATATACAAAGCCGAGCACATACAATTTTACTAATGTGACTGAATTTAGCAGATCTGTGTCAATTAATTGATCAAGTGCAATGTAAGTAGGGCATATTGTTTATTAACTCTGGTTATGAGTACAAAAGAATTACACAAGAAAAGTATATATCATAAACAATACACCAACACAGTAATTTCATTGCCATTTATGCATGGGATTGGTGCATTTATTAAATATATTAATTGTGATAAAATAATTTAACTTTGGATTTTGCAATCGCAGGAGTATACTTAAATATAGGTCATTTAACAAATAATAAATTAAGTGCAAGACTAATTTGACAAAGACAAGAAGTGAAGAAGATTAGTGAACATACCTGTTAAAACAAGTTCTGACTGTCCTGCCCAGGCTGTTTGATCACATGAAAGGATAGCATTCTGTTTGTTGCATGTCTTTTGTATCTGAAGCTTGCATAATGATAAAAGATTCTATTTGCTGTTAGATTTCATTTCACATGCACGTGCGAGAATAAATTCAAAATTATGGCGGCAATCTCACTTCCACCTGCTTGAAATTCCTTAAAATGCAAGTCTAAAGTCTAAAGTTCCTTAGCTTCAGTAAAATTTGCCTAAAACTGTGGGCGGATCTAGGGGTTGTCTCGCCCATTTTAAGCTTTCCGATTAGCTGGTGAAGGCCAAATACTGATTTTTTATTAGTTTGCCTTATTTGTCTTAAAGGAAAAAAGTATCCTTTTCAGTAAATAACTAAAATAAGGAATATTAAAAAT